GGATGAGTGGGATGTGGATGAGAGAGATATGGATGAGTGGGATGTGGATGAGAGAGATATGGATGAGTGGGATGTGGATGAGAGAGATATGGATGAGTGGGATGTGGATGAGAGAGATATGGATGAGTGGGATGTGGATGAGAGAGATATGGATGAGTGGGATGTGGATGAGAGAGATATGGATGAGTGGGATGTGGATGAGAGAGATATGGATGAGTGGGATGTGGATGAGAGAGATATGGATGAGTGGGATGTGGATGAGAGAGATATGGATGAGTGGGATGTGGATGAGAGAGATATGGATGAGTGGGATGTGGATGAGAGAGATATGGATGAGTGGGATGTGGATGAGAGAGATATGGATGAGTGGGATGTGGATGAGAGAGATATGGATGAGTGGGATGTGGATGAGAGAGATATGGATGAGTGGGATGTGGATGAGAGAGATATGGATGAGTGGGATGTGGATGAGAGAGATATGGATGAGTGGGATGTGGATGAGAGAGATGTGGATGAGAGGGATGTGGATGAGAGAGATGTGGATGAATGGGATGTGGATGAGAGAGCTATGGATGAGAGGGATGTGGATGAGAGAGATGTGGATGAATGGGATGTGGATGAGAGAGATGTGGATGAGAGGGATGTGGATGAGAGAGATGTGGATGAGAGGGATGTGGATGAGAGAGATGTGGATGATTGGGATGTGGATGAGAGATATGGATGAGTGGGATGTGGATGAGAGAGCTATGGATGAGTGGGATGTGGATGAGAGAGATAAGAATGAGTAGGATGTGGATGAGAGATATATGGATGAGAGTGATGTGGATGAAAGAGATATGGATGAGTGGGATGTGGATGAGAGAGATATGGATGAGAGAGATGTGGATGAGAGAGATGTGGATGAGAGATATATGGATGAGAGAGATGTGGATGAGAGAGATGTGGATGAGTGGGATGTGGATAAGAGAGATATGGATGAGAGGGATGTGGATGAGAGATATATGGATGAGAGTGATGTGGATGAAAGAGATATGGATGAGAGTGATGTGGATGAGAGAGATGTGGATGAGTGGGATGTGGATGAGAGAGATGTGGATGAGAGGGATGTGGATGAAAGAGATATGGATGAGAGTGATGTGGATGAAAGAGATATGGATGAGAGAGATATGGATGAGAGATATATGGATGAGAGTGATGTGGATGAAAGAGATATGGATGAGAGTGATGTGGATGAAAGAGATATGGATGAGTGGGATGTGGATGAGAGAGATGTGGATGAGAGGGATGTGGATGAGAGAGATGTGGATGAGAGGGATGTGGATGAAAGAGATTTGGATGAATGGGATGTGGATGAGAGAGATATGGATGAGTGGGAGGTGGATGAGAGAGCTATGGATGAGTGGGATGTGGATGAGAGAGATATGGATGAGTGGGATGTGGATGAGAGAACTATGGATGAGTAGGATGTGTATGAGAGAGATATGGATGAGTGGGATGTGGATGAGAGAGATATGGATGAGTGGGATGTGGATGAGAGAGCTATGGATGAGTGTGACGTGGATGAGAGAGATATGGATGAGTGGGATGTGGATGAGAGA